CCTCTTGCTGGCAAGGCCGCTTGTCCGGACCGATATTTTTTTGACGGTGTCAGGTATCCTCTTGGCATGCATTTGAACTTAAGACTTGCGAGGTTTCCGTCTATATCGCAGGCTTTCCATGCAAAGCATTCTCGCTACTCCGACACGGATCCCGGCTGCTTGCAGAACCCGAAGCTAGGCAGTTCTTTGCTTGCCGAGACCACATCCGAAAAGTACAACCTTTAGCACTTTGTTTGCATTTAATACAGATACAGCCTTCAGTGCCACGTACCGCAAACTTTACCATCGTCACAATCATAGCATGTGATATTTTAAGTACTTCTCGCATTTCCTGCTGAGGTCGCTATTTTGGAAAATGTGAAAGGGTTGCAGCGGGAACTCCCCTCGGTGCTGAAGCACTTGCGGAAGTGTGGGAACTATGTGATCAAGGTGTGCGAAATCGATCCGCCGCTGGGCATTTCCTGATCAGGGTGTCAGGGCTGCGAGCAGTCGAGTCTGAGGCTTGACTACGGAGGGGTCGGCAGTCGCGATCGATACTATATCATCATGATCCACACAAAGGTGGCACGGAAGGATGCTGCTGAAAGAATCGAGGAGACGTTACAGATGCTCCGACATGAGAGCTCTGACAGTTGGAATCTTGCTTGCAACCTGGAACCATGTCAATGTGTGATGTGCACACTGATGTAATCTTGTTTACAGGGAGTCTCTTCTGATCACCGACCAGATGATCGATCCTCCTGGCCATCGCAAACGCAAGCGATGCGACGAGAGTGTGCAACCCTTGATCTCCAGGCAAGCCAGGTTGCTGCCATCATTATAAATAATTAATAATAAAGCCGTCCCGCTGTGGTTCCAAGGCAGCCACAGCCGGGTGGACCCAAGTGGCAGGAAAAACTTTGGAGCTACATGCATGCGAAGGAAGCCATGCCCCAAGACACATGCAGCAGAATCAGCTATTTTGTGAATCACCGCCATATGGTCCTGTATTCTACCGGCCAGGTGACGCCGAAAGAGGCATACCAAGCTGGGCTCCGCAAACTACCAGCCCTTGGCCAGATTGTTCCTACCCCGCGTCAACAGCACGCGCTCTGTGCGATTTCAGTTGTGGAGCCAGACTGGGCTGCCGTGGACGTTTCGCAGTCTATCGAGCGAATGCGCACGATCCGGGCAGACCAGCATCGGGGCCGCAACAAGTTGAGGAACCCGCCTGTTTGCCGCATCCATGTTCTGTCAATTATATTTAAATTTGAAGATACTGACTTGCCATGAATGGAACGTACACGAGGCCTTTCTGCTGCGTCACGCAAGATCCTTACAGTGCTGTCTTCCCAAAAAGCTATTATTGTCAATGTTTCACATATTCCTGAGGCCTAGTGCTGCTTTCATTCTGAGACAAGGGCGGACGATGACCGGACAGCCTCTCAGATTACGGATTCATGCTTGCTGGGTCCTCCGGCTGGCCTTGATCGGCCCTTACAGGTGAAGAGATGATGTTGCAGCAGGGCTTCCCGCTGCACCGGCTAGATGTCGGAGGGAACACTTCCAAGGACCGCGGTCCCAAGACTTCGGGCAAAGTGCTGTAGGCTCTAAGGGTTATCTAAATTCGATCTGCTACATAGTTTGCATCATGCCTCAACACAGGAATTGGCGAAGCTTGCGGGAAACTCTATGCATCTTCGTGCCATCGGAGCTGCCCTATGCGCCTCTTTTCGAGTCCCTTGTTTCCGAGCTCTAGTCTTTGAGGGGAGGACCCGACTACTGTCAGTAGTAGTGGAGCGCCGAGGCGGTGGACGTAAGACGCTTCGCTGACAGCACTCATGGGCTGGAGCTGGAGTGAAAAAAAAGAAGGGCGGTCTTTCTCAGACCAGATGTTCTCATGCTCACGGACACAGACAGTGAAACCACGCCCGCCGGTGTCCACTGGCTCAGTACCTTTTCTTTGCTGCCAGGGCTCCTTCCTGGGCCATCATGGCAGCGGTGCCGCCTGAGCCTGAGGCGAAGCAAAGCCAGGACGGGTGACACGCAATGCGGTGGTGTGCTATGATCGGGTGCGGTTGAAATTGATGCTGGCCCTGGGAGGAGGAGGCTGCGGAGTCAGCCGGACATGATGAAGCCTTGGACTCCATTCGCACTTTCTTCGAAAGTGTGCCTCTGCAGCAGAATCCTGGAAATTTGTGCTGCAGTGAAGCCTGCTGTTATTTCGGTTGAAGGTCTGCGAAAAGGAGAACCCGGCCGCGTGGATGGCCCGCACCATGGCCTCCGGTGAAGTCTTCCAACAGGCATCTTGGTTGCTGGGGCTGCAGACGCCAGAGTTCTTTGCAGTGTCTTCTTGACTGACTTTCACTGAGCTGAGTGAGGTGATAAATCACTATGTGTCAGGGTGGCAAACCCGATCGCCCCTGACCTTGGTTCTCCGCGACAATATGGAGACCTTCTACCTGCCCCTGAGTGCCTTTGACTACTCCTCCGAAGGTAAAAACGGTCGCTACTTGCCCGCGTTTAACCATGCATGAGAGTCGGAGGATTAGACTGCCTGCCACAGCTGAGAATTCCCGCACCAGAGCCAGCTCCGTGCGCACTTCTTCTCGTTCCTCAGCGGCAACGACCAGCGGGAGCCAATTTGCGTGAAGTTCGACTGCAACGGGTCACGCCAGATCGAGCCCTTCAGTGTAAAGTTCGTTGATGGCCAAACGAAAGTGCTCAACATGTTGTTGGCCATAGCGATAGCCCACAAGCTGGGCTTGGCCAGGGGATTGGTCAAGGCCTTTGGGACGTATGAATACATCCTGTGTTCATATGTCCACCGCGAAGCAGCGGCCTTGTTCCACTACGATGCCCTCCGTTTCTTGGCTGTTTCTGGGGTTCAACATACATTCCAACATAACATCCTTCGCAAGGGGGGCAGTTGGAAAGCCAAGGGTTTACGGACAGGTTGGCATAAGGTACAAGCGGCAGCCCATGCCGCTGGCGGCTCCTGCCGCCTACAACACGTTAAACTCAGCACCGAGATGAAAACATTAAGGGCCAGGTAATGGTTGGAGAATGGCGCAGAATCANNGGGGCGGCTACCTTGACAGGCTTGGGTGCGAGAAGCGCCGAGAAACAGCCTCCCTCGGCTTTGCAGTACATGGCGGAGATGCAAAAGGCCATGGCTGCCGAGAAAGCGCTCACCTCAAGGCCTTCAAACCTTAAGCCCAAACTCGCAAGAGAAAGCCTTGTGAATGTCCTTGAAGCCCCCACGTTCAGAGAAGATGTCAGGAAGATTACCTCGCGCGAGCTCCTTGGGAAGTGCATCGCGGACTATAACAAGCTTGTAACCGTCAAGAAGTGGAGGATCGACTCCGGGAAACGCAAGTTGATCTCCAACTTGATGGACGTTGGCCCGGAGTTCCGCACGGCCCTCGCGAGGCACTACGACTTCTACCCGCACTCCACGTCAGGACTCGGGTGGGCGGAGAGATGCAGAGAGACGCCTTGTTTCGTTGTCTCATTGTTACTGCTGCTGCAGCTTCACTTGGCCCATGCCTTATACAGGTCTCTGGTCTATTGGCTTAACTTAGCAGGTTTCTCTTGGTCCTTCAAGCTCTTCTAGTCCGTAATCCTCATTTAATGAGGGTCACGGAGTAGACGACCTTGAAGGCTTTGGGGTTTAGGGTTCAGGGGTTTGGGGTTCTCATGAACAAAAGAGACCACCACATGCCACACAACCCACAACCCTCTAGACGCCTGGCCAAAACCTGAAAGCCTGAGTCCTAAACCCAAACCAGACACCAGAAACACAGAACTGCTGACCCGTGCCTGCATCGCAACCAACTCCTGCCTAAGCCAGCCTCCCATACCTCACAACCCAGCTGCCCTGAACCCTCCTCGCGGGACTCATGGGGAAGTGGCGTTGCGATGGTAGCGACTCGCAGCCTCGAAGCCGGTCTCCGCCGGCATGGCGAAGGTTCGACGCACAAGCTTCCGAATCCGAAGATTCCTCTGACTCTGATTCTGCTGGCGACTCCGGATCGGAAACGACTTCGAACGAGGCTCGAAGCGTTTCTACTCGGCCGATTTTGTAAACATGAATTTGAATAATATTTAATAATAGAATATCATTTAATTTGTGTCTCACGACCATTGGCCAATGTGAGGACTCCAGCACCAGCTCCAGCGAGGGGGCAGCCAGCTCCTCTGTTCAGGTTGCAGAATTGAATTTGAACTACATGCACACCATGCAGACGCTGGATGGCACGGAGGATGATAGTGTATATGCCGCCCGTGGGAAGAGTCGCAAACGCATCAAGAAGGTGCTGCGTGGAAGAGAAAATTCGGCATGCCAGTGCCAAAGGAAGCCTCTTGGTTAGCAAGCATTCGATGGCCTGCTTTCTGGTTCATGTCCAGCAAGTCGTGCTGCAAGCTCTGCTCATTCAGCATCGTCATCATCATCCGACATTAAGGTGTTGGAAACGAATATCGTTTTCGAAGCTGCTCGCCCTTTGCACGGCGTTTTGGTCTCTAAGCAAAGCTGGTCAAGACCTTTTGCTCTGGTCAGCACAGAATACCTGTTATGGTGATGAAGATTCCGACCTATCGGATGATGAGGATGCGGGCCCAAGGCAGCACAGCTCCAATAAAGAGTCCTGCATCGGGGTTACGTAGGTCTGAGTTGGCATCTGAGAAGCCAAATTGTTTATCGCATGGTTTAGTGTCCCCAAGGCAGCGAAGCACTGCCCTGATTGCGACCAAACAGCAATGGACGATTTGCGGCATCTCGACTATGAGTTTTAAACTTCTTACCACGTGGTCGAGCGAGAGTGCTAAAGCTTGATATCATTTTCAAATCGGCCAGGTGTTCCTGTTTGCCGACGAGCCTTCGCTCGGATGATGGCCGTGGGCCAAAGCCGGCTACAAAGAGCCCGGCACCGTTACCGGGGCCTTGACGAAAGGACTTTGAGAAGCGCCTTGGTGCAATTACATTGTGCTTGTCTCAGTGCGAGCTCACCGGCGGTTCAGCCGGATGACATGGAGCTCTAAGGCCACAATCAGGGACGACCCAGTCTGGCATACTCCAGTGCGCATGCCTTCTTCAAGCATCTGTATCATTCGGTGGCCGAGTTCAACCCAGCCGGGCGACTTGTCTTTCCTTGCAGGGCTTTTCTCAGAAGGTATGTGTGGAAAGAAGTCGGAAGTGTGTTGGTGCTGTGTTGTAGCAAACTGACGAAAGCCCACATAAGCCTTGATCAGAGTAATTCACAGCTCAGAGCCCAATCCCGGAAGCTTCGATCAGAGTAAGCGGGCAAAAGCTAGATTCAGCTAGACCCCCCATATGCTTGAACCCTGAGTAGATTCAGATTCAGGCTTGTCAGAAAATCTCTGACGCCCTTGGAGATGCGAGAGCAGATAATGGGCAAGCTTCTGCAGTCAGCCTTGGGCAGAGAGCACGCAGAGCCCGAAACGCTTTGCGTGAAAATGCTCCCTCCGGGAAGGTGGTCGCATATGTACCAGCTGTATATATCGAGGTGTATCTCGATGAATGCGGCTGCTGCGTCCAGGACCACATTCTACGAAGTTTGTCGACGATGGCGCTGCTGCCTGGAGCTCCGATCGAAAAGCCAGCACTCCATCTGCCTGACGTGCGACAGACTACGTGCTCGGCTTCGAGCTGCCAAGGATCTGCATGCGCACATGAAGCTTTGCGAGGAACTCTTGGAACACCTCGGCATGCAATGGCGCTGCAGACAGCGATACTGGGAAGCCCGGGAGAGGTCCAGGAATCACGATAATCTGCTCTGCATGATTATCGATGGGTTTGACAAAGCCAAACCCGTAGTTCCTCGTTGGACTTCCGGTAGACCCCCAAAGGGGGGTGTTTTCGAAAGAGTTCGGAGACCTGGCCTGAACATAGCATGCGTCCTGGCACATGGCTATGCACTGCATTTGTTCGTGGCCAACGAGGAAGTTCCGGACGACAGCAGCTGGACGTGGGAGTGTTTGTCTCGAAGCCTGCAGACAACGTACGAACACTGCCAGAAGCAGCACTTGCAGGTTCCCTCGGAGCTCTGGATTCAAGGAGACAACACAGTGAGAGAACTCAAAAACCAAACGAGTTCTCTCACCTCTGCAGTCCTCCTCTCTGCAGGACAGCGGGTGGTCATGTGCTCATTATGTACTTACGATGTTTCCAGTGTCAGGCTTGCTTCATTCATGAATGACTGATTCCGGATTCGAGTCGATTGATTGAATTGAAAGAGACTGAAAGTGTCCCTGTGTGGGTGTGCGAGTCTTTGTCCGTCTGTGCGTGTGTGTCTGCACAATGTGGGCATTCATCCAATCATGACCCTGGTCAGGATGCTTTCGCCAGATTGGCATCCATCACTTGCCCATTGGGCATACCCACGAAGACGTTGGTCGCCATGCTGCAAGACAGCTAGCATCGTTTTGGATGGCACTTAGGGCAGGGTTCCAGTAGGAAGTCATTCTATATTTTTTATGCAGTGCGGAACAGCAAGAAACGAAACCAGTGGAATGAACCCTTCCCTGAGATGGCATCTTCGCAGCTGTGGCTGAAGTGATCACCTCGGCTTCTGACGAAGTGCAAACACGGGCAGACGTGGTGCGGTTGCTGCAGGACCGCATGGGGAAAGTAGCTGCGGACCGAGGGGAAAAGCTTTTCATCCACAGTGTGGACTCCGTGCTTCGGAGTCAAATTGCAATTATTGAATAATTCATTCTTCAGCTCTGATTTGTATATAACTTTCAGTTCTTGTTCCCAAGACGTGGTCCAGCAGACGGAAGCTGAAAGCAGTCCAGCCCCATGCCAAGGTACGGCCCTTCAAAGAGCTTCTGCCAGACAATGTGTCGCTCAGTAATGTGTACCGCGAGCGCGGGCCATTGCAAGCTGACAGGAAATTGGTGCCGCAGTCTTTCACGCATCTTGGCCGCAGATTGCGAAATCCTTTAAGGATAATAGACAGTATATTGGAATCTGTCGGCACGAGGTACAAAGCACGGGTCAACATGACCCCGGAAGAGCTCGCCTTCTGCAAGCAGCGGCTACCCAGGGGTGTGCAAGAGTCCTCGGGCGACATCTTCTGTCTCCTGAAACGCCACCTCTGCGATGACGAGTATTCGTCTGGGGCGCTTATATTTCCTGGTGCTTCCCGTGACAAGGCCGAGAGCATGATCAACCAGGTCATCAATCATACTGGAAAGACTTTCCAGCTGGACGATGACCGGAAGGATTCTTGATGAGACATCCAGGGAGTCAGTTACACATGACTTCAAGTCAAATTCAGATTTCAGATTCAGCTTTATATAGCCCTGAACCCTGAACCCCGAACTTGACGAATTCCTTAATTCTGGACAGGAACAGCTCGCCGAGTTGGCAGATGCTCTGAGAACGGCCTATCCTCAATACGGCCGGGCCGTCCACTACATAGCTCAACAAACAGG